CAACAGTTCTATTCGTAGGACCTGCTGCACAGTTACGGTATGATACGGTAATATATTATTCTGTTCGGACCTATGGAAGATGGCTCTATAAAAATAAAGGATAAAGCATTTGCCGTTGATCAATCTCGTTTTGGGATGCGGCACGCATTCTACTTCCATTTGTACATTCGCAGTGGCAAATTGAATGCGATGTGGCCTATACAATTTGCGGGGGCCAGCCGATGTTCAAGTCAGTGTTTCCTCCCAGACAAGTCTGGTACCAATTAACCGACCCCGGAGGGATGGAAGGCTTGGTTGGCCCGGGCGACTCACGACCCAGGATTTGATCCCGGACCGCTCGCGTGGTAAGCGCGCCACTTGCCACTACACCACTTCCGCCCTCTTAGCTGTAGCTACAGAAAAATCCTCGTGTACGATTAAAATAGTGAACAAGCTACCGTAATCCATGTTGCGTGTGGGCGAGCGCGAGGAATCTCGTCCGTAAGTTCACATTAGTCGCCATCAGATCACTTTGTAAGGCCCTAGCGCCATTGCGCGCACTTTCGAGCCGCGACAACGGCACATCTGTGATACTCGTGGGCTACTCTATCCCACCCACAGAACAGATTCTTCGACACGACCTCATCTGGGGTTGTTCATTCAAACTTGAGCTCCTTTGGCTGGCTAGTCCGGCGGCGAAGTAGGTACACGTTGTGTGCTTGGACCGCTTGACCTTCCTCGGGCTGGGCTCCACCTCAGTGTCGTTATCGTGAGCTGTGCCTTTAAGTCACTCTTGAAGTAGTGAGGGGTGCGCTTTTGGTGAATTTCCTTTCAATTAGATAAATGCGGCACCAGCCCAACATTTAGGAACAGGCATGGTTGGCTCGATCCAGTTTGGGAATCGAATACCTTGCACATGGTAGCGACACCACATCACATACTACAACCCTATTACCGTTCTTATAAAATGAATAAATTATAGAATTTATTTTCCAAACAAAGAGAACCCTCAGTTGCGAACATTATATTATTAATTCTAAAGAATAGAAGGCAGCTCACCTGAAATCGCCTTCTAGCTACGAAGTATTTGATTTTCCTGATCGCTCGTATGGCATCTTTGTATTGCTTGGTCAGGTCGCAAATACTGCAAGAGTTTCGTTTTTCATCCAGGGTTAGTGAAAACATCTTCCTTGCCAAAAAAAAAACAGAAAAATTATAAAAATACTACTTACTGCGCGATTCTCACTGGCATCGGATTATCATCATTCTCCTCCTGCTCGAGTGCATCCAACCGCGTTTCCGAGGCTGCTTAACAACAACAGACTTTACAGGAAGGAAAAAGTTGATATAGCTTGTTGATGAAGGTTACTTCCGAAACCTGCCAGGTTTTCGAAAAGACAGTTAGGTTTCCGAGAACTCACTGCCGAATACGCGATCGTCCTCCACGTCGCTGTTTCTGTCCTTGTCCTTTTTTCTTTCGCCCATTTCCAAGTCTACGCTTGCAGCGCTGGGGCGGCTTTTCTTCGAGCTGTTCAGCAAGCTTGATCTGAAAGGAGCATGGCAATTAGGAAGTTCGAGGGACGTATAGATAGAAATAATGGAAGTAGTACAGAGCAACTTCTGGAGGCGCCACTCGATGTGCGCACGGCTTCAGCGGCGGGCCGCTTAATGCGGAATTCTTTACAAGCGTACTCCCCTACAAATTCGATACCATGTTAGGTGTGCCTATCGCTTGTTGGGCAATATGCGCAACCAGCTGTCTGTTTAGAGAAGAATTTCTATGATCGATTGAGCGGAGTGCGCAAACTTGTGAAAGAGGATTGACGTCCTCACGCCTCAAGGCCTGGCAGGGCCACTTCTCGTGGCAGCAATGACTGTGTCTGCGTCTCCCTCATCTCTGTCCTTCCTCCTGCCCTTGCTGCCAGAGACTCTAATCTAGACACACACTCTCCTGCTACATAGGTTTATACAA